TGAGAAAAACCAGCTGATTGTTTTTTCCTTCATGGTGGCCCAGGCTAATTATGTGAAATCCTAGTGTCATCCACATGGGTATCACATGCAAGAATAGTCTATCACATTAGCATGTACTGCTAGTGCCCTCTCTTTCTCACAGACAGAGCCACAAATCATCCAACAAGCCCAGGGAAGAGCTTTTCTCAGAATTTAAGGCCATCCTTACCACTTCTGATGTCTCATTTAGCTGACATCTCTTTTTGGGCTTTTTTTGGCTATTTTGTTGCTTTATGTTTTGTTCCAGTAAATTTACACTTTCCCACAGGCGGCTCTTAAGAAGGCTAATTCCATATTTGAAGCTGAAATGGAAAGTTTTCACTAACATGAAAAAGAAAAGTTCTTAGCCACAAAACTTTTTTTTAAAACAAATTCTGAACTTCAGAAATTCAAAAAACCCCTCCAGCCCCCTCTCTAACTGATATCAATAACTCCCCAGGTGTTAGCACCACATTTCTGTAGGAGTCCATATGTGAAATTTAACCTAGAAAGGATCTGAACCACTATCTGCCCTCTTTGGTGTCATGAGCTGGTGTCAAAATGAGAGACATGAAAAAAACAGCAACTCACAGTGCTGAACATGTGGGTACTGCTTATAAGATTTTTATAAGTTTTATCCTGGGATGTTCTAGATCACTTGATTACACTTTATCTTCACTCCATCATGCCTTGCAAAGAACAACCAAAAGTGCAAAAAGGAAACAGAATAAAGTTCTGGATTTATGTAGCACTCTTAACTCTTGTGAGTCAAACATAAGACAAATCATGACAAATGAATGACTACTGGGTAGAATATGAATAAAATATGATGAACAATTGACTAGCTTGGGAAGTGCCTGTGTTATACAGTGGGCAATATATTGCTGATTTGTTCAATGACTTTCCCAACCTGTTACCCCTCTTTTAGGAGGGTGACCTTACCCAAGGAGAACTAAACTGACTTCCTTTGTAGTTTCTCAGTGTGGCTATTTACATTGCCTCAGGTGGTTGCTGCTGAGAAATGATGGCAGTCATTTCCTTCACTTTATAAATGAATGTGATCAGCTCCCACACCTGTTTCCTTTGCACAGTGCAAGTTCTTATTTGCAATGCTGGATTGGGGTGCTATCAAAAATGAACAGCAACATGCCTTTTTGTATTGAAAAACACGGTGCCTAGGAACACAAGTAAGGATGGGTAAAGTATTTCACACAAAATAGGTGCAGACCCAAACCTGGGTTCATTCAAAAAACGGAACTGGATACAAACCTCTTCAAAGCTTTAACTTTTTTCTTGGTGGCTGGTACGGCAAATAGGAGGTGCTAGGCTGACAGGTATGGATGCTGATGTCCTCTCATGATTCACAGTGCAGGTACAGTACAAGCAGCAAGAGTACAGACTACCTTCACATGGTCCCACTGCTTTCAGTCTGACCTGGAAGGACCATTTCTAGGGTTGAGAGGGTAGTTCTACAGATCCTGGAGTGCCAAATCCTTTTGGAAGACACCAGACTGTGATCCAAGAGATGCAGAAGTGGTAGAAGTTAAGCTATTGCAACAGCTATTGAAAATGTGGAGTAAGCTGCTGAAACTTGCCTACTAAAGGAGCTGCAACCGCATACTCTGGGCATGTCTGTGCACGTGCATGTGTACATATAGATGCACATGTGTGCACACATTCAAAAAGATGTGTGACCTTCTCCCAAAAGAAACTGCAACATTCTATGTTGCTATTGGCCAGAGATGTCCTTGTGCCATTCAGTGTTGTAATCCATGCTTTGCCATTCCCAAGAGCATCCTGTCACTATGTTTTATCACTTAGATGAGATTAAACTAAACAGCTGGTCAGCAGTCTTGTGTCCCTAGAGACACCAGGTAATGGAAGAGAAAACCCTTCACCTCTGTACTTAAACCCATTCCATGTTAACAGAAATTGAAAGTTCATCTGAAAACCCAAGTGACCTGTACAAAATGAAATCTGGGTCCAGTTCCCACACCTATTACCAAGAAAAATCCTCCACAGGTCAGCAAGAAGTCTGCAAGGCCAAGGATAAATACAGTTGTGAAGAGTTAACACCATTTTATTCCTGGAGGTAGACATTTAAGGTTATGACAGATTGACCCCACAGAACAGGATAAGGTAGCATCACCCTTTTCCTTACTGTAAATTGTTCTGTTGCAAGAAGATGACTTTCGACACTAGAGCTGCCATCAGCACTAAAATCATGAAAAAGTGTAAAATAAGATATATTGCTCATTAATTTGTGCGATTAATTAAACAAGTTCCTAATTTTACCCACTGGGACATAAAATGCCTCAAGCCAATCTCTGAAGACAGCAGTTAGGCTCTGAACAATGGGCTCTCTTTCTGAGGAACTCTCTGTAATTCGGAACAACTGCATTTAAATGCACTGCAGCCATTCAAGTAAGTTTAGCAGTGTGGATATTTTTCTTCAGACTTTCTTTTTTCTTGGATACTCCCTGCTAGGCAAGCCTTCAGGGCTCTCATTCTGCAGACAGCACAGTCTTCAGCATTCTCCATCTCCCAAGCATAGGTACTGAGAAGCAGGCCACAGGTCCTCTTTCCATACAGCAAAGAATATGTTTTGTGATGAGGCAATGTACCTCCAAGGCCTGTATGTCTTCCTTCATCGCAGTCCCCATCTGGACTATTCACCTCTTCCCTTCTGAAGTTGTCTGCACTGGCAATATTGCCATACTTCCGGCACCATTCTCCTACAGAAGCTCCTGCTTTGAAAGTAGGTGGTTCTGCAGGGCTGCAGCTATCTGTGTACCTCACCAGAGAGCAGGCAGGTGGCCTCATGAAGTTTCCTGCAGATGGCAGCTCTCCAGGTCCAAGAGCCATAATACATTTGATCATCTGACAACATCTGCTGTCTCAGCAGTTTCCAAGTAATCTTGTCTGAAGCCAGCCATGGTCTCTCAACCTACATGGTGGCTCTTCTTATCTGTCTATATCTGCTTCGGTTTGTCTGTAAGAGGCAAATCTACTCTGCCTTCTCTGAAGACATTTGTCTGCATCACAACTGACCTAAAAATGGGCCACCATTTGCGCACATTAGTAATTTTACCCACATGAGTAGCCCCATCAAAGTCAGAGGAATCACATAAAGCTACTCACATGCCCAAGTCTGGGCTGACCTAGAGCCTAAGGGATTATTAAGAGACTACATGCTGGTGTGATGCTCATATAAAGGATCTAGTGTCATAAGCTTAGGATGACAGTATTACTTGCCACAAAGCCATAAATACATTACATAGGCCATTCCAAACAAGTGCAAATGAAACATTTAGACCAACACACATCATCATGTGTTTTGCTTGGGGCACACTTTAGAACAGAAGCCCTTTAGAAACAGTTTTTGTATAGCTAATGTCTGCCATACATGCTGCCAACAGAGCAGGCTGCCTTACAGTCACATTCACCAGAGCACTTAAAGAGGTGCTTAACTTTAAACTTACATTAGTAAGATCAAGAAAATCAAGGGAAACGGAGCATGTGCTGAAAGTTCAGCTTATGCCCAAAGGTTTTGCTGATCAGGGACACTGTTCTGAACTGGAGTCTCAGTCATCAGGTGAAGCTTTGAGCGACAGAAATGGTTAAGACGCAAGTTTTAAAATTTCTAAGAAATATCCACAAGATATTTTTGTATATCAGATATCTTTTGTATATCAGACTGTCCCAGTCTGAGGATCTTCCAGAGATCATGTAATCCCAGCTCCGCTACAAAACATAGCAAGCGATTCTAACCTTGCTGGATTACAAGATAAAGGACAAGATCTTGAAGCTATTACTGATTCAGGATTGAATATTGTCCTAGGCTTCAGAGAATAGTGATATTCACACTAACTGGAGAGGAGGAGGAGGCTTTTTGTGGCGGCCTCTTTTGTGTCTTGTTTTAAAAGTGATTGTTGAGCTGCTCAGAGAATTTTGGCATGTGAGAATTTTGATGCTGTGTGTGGTCGACACCCTTCAGAAAGAGGCTTTCAGGAGATCAATCCTGCATTATTGAAGCGGAAGGTGAGTTTCATCACTGTGTTCAGTAGGAACAGGAGAATACCCCAGGGTAGCAGATAGCAATAGAAACAAGTGATACAGCTCTGTGTTAAACAGAGTTCGTAAGTGCTTATCGCTTGACTGCTTTATTCTTTTCTTTTTTTTCTTTGTAAATGACAGTCCTACTCAGCCGGAATGTCTTACATTTAAAGTTTCAGTACCTGGGCTTGCCGCACCAGTTGTACACTAGCATGGCTCCAGTGATTTAATGGACTCACAACGCTATCAAATTTGTGCATTTGTCTCTAAGTTATGTGAATATTTTTATAGGCCAGGGCTAGAACCCTAAAGCACATATCAGGAGGCCTTGATTCAATTCCCAGCTCTGTCACTGGCCTGGTGTATATTTTTTTAATCCTTTGCATGGCTCAAAATGACCAAAGAAATCTTCCTTCTGAACTTTTAAATAAAATTTCCACCAGAAAGAGACTTTTTCTAAGACAATTATAAAATCCCTGGATGGGCATTCTTTTTATAATGAAAATTCCACCATAGCCATTGCTACAGTAGGTGCCCTGAGTTGCCCACTCTAAAATCCTACTTGCGCTTTTCTCAGACTAGAAATCTGCTCCCCTGAATCATTATTTTATAACTTTCTCCCTTTGTTTCACAACGGCACAAACAGAAATAAAGTTGCGAGTCTTGGAGTTAGCCCTTTAAAACAAATTGCCTTGCCATCATTTTAATAAGTTTGACAAGTTGGTCCCAGGCCCTCAGGAGGAAACTAATAAACTTTTAGTTGCCTTGCTATTGTTTTCCTAAAACAATTTGACTTCCTTTCTGATAGCCTCAAATTCCTTCATTAAAAATAGAGTAGCTGGGAGCCAGAGAAAGAGTTGAACTGGAGCCAAGTTGCTGCTTACAATGCAGCCTGCGTAAGATCACATTTTTATCCCAATCCATGAAGCCTCTTTAAAAGAATAGTACGCAGACAGCTGCCAGTGCATGTCAGGCACAGCAAAGGAGCTGGGATCCCCCAGCCTCTTGACTTCAAGCTTAGAGAATCTTCAGCCAGTCAGCTACGGTCAGACTACAAGAGGCTGAGTGCCAGGACCCACCTGAGGTCTGCCTACCCTGTTTAAAGGGTCTTCCCTCAGACAAGGATCCCTCCTGGGTGCTCAGCATCAGCAGAGAGGTGGGTTCCAGCATGCTTTAGAGTTTGGGCCAAAGTTAAGTTTCAGTTACCTCCACCCACCTTACTCTGTACTTCTCCCTCTACCTGTCCAGAACCAGCAGAAAGAGGTAATGGTTTATACTTTATTTTCTTCTTACATTAAAAAATGGAGATTATGTATGTGTGTGAGATGGTCACTGATTTAACACAAGTTCATAGATGTATAAGAAAGGAAAAGCTGTCTGGTGCTAGAGCAGGGGGTAGGCAGTGAGGCTTCCTGGGTTCAGTGCTTGACTTTGCAGAGCACTTGCTGAGGCCCTGGGCTAATCACTTAACCTCTCCTTGACTGAGTCCCCGCTTTATGAAATAGGGCTGGTACTCACCTCCCTCAACAGATTAGACTCCTGTGTGCTGAGAGGTGCTCTGGGAGGTGAAAGGTGGGTCTAGTATGAGTAAGATTAGATGAGACTGTGCAGCAGATTGTTACAGTTAACGGCAGGCTGGAAGCTGACTGTATTTCAGGGAAGATGTTCACTTCTGAATCACAGGAATGAATTATCTCCTCAATTTCTACTGATTAAACAGTTTCTGAATTTGAATGAGAAATTGTGACTTTTAAGAAGAACTGGGTTTAGTCTAGAGAAGACTGAGGGAGGATTTAATAGTAGCCTGCAACTACCTGAAGGATGGTTTCAAAGAGGATGGGGCTAAACTGTTGTCAGTGGTGGCAGGTGACAGAACAAGGAGTAGAGGTTTCAAGTTGCAGCAAGGGAAGTTTAGGTTAGATATTAGGAAAAGCTCTCTCACTAGGAGAATAGTGAAACACTGGAACTGGTTGCCCAGAGAGGTGGTGGAATCTTCATCTTTTGAGGTCTTTAAGACCCAGATGGACAAAGCCTTGGCTGGGATGATCTAGTTGGGGCTGGTCCTTGCTTTGAGCAGGGGGGTGGACTAAATGACCTCTTGAGGTCCCTTCCAACCCCAACTTTCTATGATTCCATGATTCAATGGCAGACAAGGTTCTTTGGGTAAATGTGATATCTTTTATTAGACCAACTAAATAGTTGGAAAAGGTGGTCTTTGCAAGCTTTTGGGCACAAACACCCTTCTTCAGGCACTGGAGTCCATGATTCTATGATATTCTTCTGTCTCACCTTTTTTGATGAGCCTGTGCTAAAGTGAAACTCTGGGATGGGCAGAGGTTAGGGTAAAAATTAAATCATTTCATATTTTTCTACAAATGAAATACATGGTAGTGTATAAAACAGCTCACCTGACTCCTAAGAATTTATCATAACACGCTGTTCCTATACCCAAGGGCCCAGTCTAGCCCTGGAAATTGGACTTCGGGGATGAAGATGTCCTCACAACATTACCTTCCTCAGAGGTCCAGAATCTAAGCAATGTCTACATTGGGGAATTTTAGACAAATATTTTCACCTGTTTAATAGCTCAGGTAGCACTGGCAGGAGTTTAGCCACCTCTTCAATAGTTTCCTGCCTTTTGGTCACATTGAGGAGCAGGTTCCTGGGGTGATGATGGCAGTAATAGCCTGGATTCTAGCCTGAATAGTAGAATTCTTTTCTCTATAATGTCCTAGTTCATCACAGCTAAAGAGAGGGGACACAGTCCCTTAGCATAACAACCCCTCTGACTTCCCAGAAAACTGCAGTAAGCTTAAGGAATCATGTGCTTTCCTCTGGGATAACCTTTCAAAGCCACCAGTGTATCAAGAGAACATTTATCACTGCATGAATCATCCTTCCCAGTAGAGCAAAACACTCCAGAAACATTTACTTTATGCGAAGAAGCCCCTTCAAATTCATGAGTCTCAGGAAGCTGTTGCCTGCACTGGGCATTTGCAAGAATTTTCTAAGGGTACCAATTTTTTATTGCTTAGATCATTTTATTTTAATTTGATGGTACAGAATAAGTATGGATTGGTTCTAAAATGTCATTGTGCTGATAACCTACTCAGAATTTCTCTCTGCCATTACGTGGGAGATTTGGCAGCTTGGATAGGGCAGTGATAGGAATTAAGGAAACAAGGTGGGTCATGGGATTCAGCCCCTGTTATGGCAGGCAACCATGCCATTTAATCCCTTTCATAACTTCAGCTCCATTTTAAAACTATTCAGGTGTCTGCCCCCACACCTCCTATTGGAAGGCTATATCCAAACTTCACTCAGATGCCTAGAAACTTTCTCCTGATTTCTAGTCTAAATGTATTTATAACCAGCTTACACTCATCTGTTCATTGCCAACATTGTACTTTAGGTTAAATGGTGTTTCTTCACTGTGGTGTGTATTCCCTTGCTGTACTCCTAGTGCATTCTTGTCCCTGAAAAGCAGAGTAAATGAGCTTGCACTGAACTCCTAGTTACTGTGGTTAAACTGCTACTGGTACATAAGCTATGTAGTTAAAAACTAGCCTGGGTGCCCCTGCACCGCACTGCAGTCACTCCTCTAACTCAGTTACACATATCCTTTGTCTCCTCATACAACGGGCTCCTCATATTCTTGATCACTGTAGTAGTGATCCATACATTCTCCATACCTGTTCCACTTAATTCATCTTCCTGGAGCAAGGGGACCTGAACTGTAGACCCTGCTAGCGATAGGTTTTCACCAGTGCCTTGTACAGAGGCATTAAAAATTCCCTCTCTCTACTGTCTCCTTAGACTGCATTTGCCTTATTGCATGTGTAGCTCACAGTCGTTGTGAGCTGGTATCTTCTGCATAGACAATGCTTCCTCACTTTATGTCATCAGCAAATTTCATCATCACACTCTCTGCCTTGTGGCCAGGGACAGACATTATGGGCATTTTTACAAAGTCATTAATGAAAAGCATCAAGCAAGAGTAGCCCCAAAACTGACCTTTGAACAACTTCAGTGATAACTTCCCTCCAGCCCGATGCTACTTCTTTCAGGGCTACCCATTATTGTTTTCCCTCTGGCCAGTTCATTCTAACTGATACAGTAAAGCAACTGAGGAATTGGAATAGGACAGGATCAGTCCCTTAGTATATATGATATGTATGTATATTAGAAAAAGCCTCAGAGTTCATTCAAGAGAACCAGATCTTATCCAGGATTACAGGTAATCGCCAAAGGAACAAGAAGGCATCCCCCTGAAACAGCGTTAGAGTAAGAAAAAGTAAAGAAATAACCAAGGAAAAGGGGATCACATCTGACTGTACAGCAAGGAGCCAACAGAGGCAAGGAGGGTATACTGTATTACATTTCAGGCAGACCACACATATAACAGCAGCACTTTGCACCTAAATAGCAAATGGAAATCACTTTACAAGCATTAACTAACCAATTCTAAAACCATCTCTGTCAGGTCAGGCTATATCATGCTTTTATAGAGAGGCCATTATGAAAAAATCCTATGGTATTTCATGAGGATAAAAGCAAAAAACTACAAAAATAAGGATCTAGGGAAATAACTCCAAAAAAACCCTAAATAATTTAATAGGGAATGGCTCTTTGTACTTTCCTTCTTTGATGTTTTTTAACCTGTCTAATAGAATTCCATAGCAGGTACATAACTGTCTATTAAGCCCCATAGACTGGTTCAAGCAACTTTTACATATTGTATAATATTACATTACATAGGATTTTTCTGCAAAGAAGAAAATGAAGGGCAAAAAAGCAAAGGGCTTGTCTATCCAGCAAAGTTGGCACAAAATACCTAGGACCTGTAAAAGTACAGGTCATTAGCCATACTCTACCAATCCCCAGGTGGACACATTTAGTGCACACTTAAGTGAAAGGTAGGTTACTCCACTTTCAAAGAGGAGTGAGGTATACATAAAGGTTCTCTTAGTGCCACTAAACACTGTCCACATGGGAAATTGGTGTGAAATAACACACCATAGCTCACTGCACACTATCTTTCCTGGAGAAATAAGCCATAGGTTTGCTGACCAAGGAGATGCAGCACATCAGTATCAGAGCAGAAATTAGTCTTTTGTTCTTGGCCCTGTGCTCAATTTACATGAGCCCCTTTGCCCCTTGCTGTAGGGTTTGCAGCAAATGTTTATTTTGGATGGGAATGAACTATGGCTACAAGCAGGATCACTGGAATGCAGGAACACAGGAGAGCATACAGAATGCATGGTATAAAAGGTCTCCAGAGGAAGGTTTGCTTTTATCAATCTCAGATCACACTTCTATTGGATTTGCTTTCTGACATCAGGTTTGGGCCCAATGGACTGCAATCTGAACTCTCATTCTCATCACTGAGGCCAAGAACATCATAGGAATGAAAAATAGGATTTGATGTGGATGTTGATAATGAGAACATCTGACATGAGATAAGACTTAAACATTCTCAGAAAGGGCACAGTTCTTCATGCTTTAGAGCATTGGATACCTCCAAATATAGGCATATTTTTTCTATAAGGGGGTTTCTCCCACCTTTCTCTGAAACATTGGGTAATGGTCACTCTCTGACATAGGATTCAGGAGCAAATAGACCCTGAATCTGATCTGTTACGACTGTTCTTCTGTTCCAAATAGTATGTGCTGCATTTGGGGTTAATTTTAATATTTGGAGCCACATATACATTTATATTTAGAATGTTTACTTCATTTTTTTTTTTGTACAAGAGATTCTTGGCAAAATAAAAGACTCCTGGATGGCATAAACTCTGCTTTGATTGGTTGGCCTTTTAAAACACCTCCCAGGCTTCTCTTTGGTTTGTGCTCCATGTGAAGAAAATTCCCTTGTCCCTGGTTAGGATAAGCAAAGGGCTAGCCTAAGCATTTTTCATTTAGAGAAAGGCTCAAAACATGGCTTGTTGTCTTAAGGAGACGGTGTGTGAAACACGCTTATTGGCAATTGGAAAGGGCAAAGTGAGGCTAGCAATCAGTGCCATCCCCCTGCAAAGGGGAAGAGGAAATATAGGTAGAGACCAGGAAGGGAGAAAACAAACAGAATTATTATCTAAAAAGAGAGAAGGATGGGTAACTAGGCATGAGAGAGGCACTGCGGATGACATGAA